GTTCTTTTAGAAAAGTTTATCAGATCATTTAAATGGTATATTTTTGTATAAAGAATAGCCATAAAAAAAGTCACAAGGACCGATAATAAAATGTAAGATAACAAAAAACAGATAGCGATAGGGAATTATCGAATATTTGTCGATTTGATCCGGCAGTGATCATCACCGAAATCACAAGCTTATTCGAATCGGTAAATATTTGGTCAATTTTTTGCAGAGTTTATGAAACAGCTATAAGAAAATCTGTCCTTAATATTAATGAAGGATTGACCGTATTACCGTTCGTATTTACTAATCTAAAATATATCTTATGGGTAGATTTCGAAATTCTGAAGGTTTAGAATCCACTTAAGTGGATTTTTAATCTTAACAATTTAAAAGTAAACATTTTTCATAAATCGTTCACTTTCATTTTGAATTTCTTTGGTCGATTCGACTGTCAAAAATAACAGATCGTTATTTTCATTGAGATTATGCTCATGGAGAAATCTTTAGCCGAGTATAAATTATCCGGTTATCCGGGTAATTTACTATACAGCTGTATATAATTACATATAATAACAAATTCTATGTATTCGGTTACAGTTCCTAGTTTTATTACTTAGTTGATTAAGTAGATTTTTATAATATTGACTTAGTCGGTCGATAGTTTAAATCTTGACCACTAACATTTATAAGAAATCGAAAAATTGGAAATAATTCACGAGGCAACCAGCTTTTGATCATCGAATAAAATATTCTTGCCGCATTATTACACACAATGTAGAAACTACTGTGGATTTGCGAAAGTAATTAAATTTCCGAAATATTTTTCGGCATTATTACTATTTCTATAAATTCTGATAAATTAACATCAAATAAATTACCGATATTGGCAAAAATAGAAATTTATTGAAATTTCTTTTGCATCAATAAATTACCGATACTTCTTTGCATTATTATAGATGTTTTCATAAATTTGACTGACCGAATATTTGCTGATTCGATAAGTTTTTGATTCGGCAGTGATCATTACCGTTACCGAAATCACAAACTTATTGAATCGGAAAATATTAGATGTCCCAGAATTTATGAAAATAGCAATTGCCAAAACCTCTTTAGCATTATTAAATCGCTAAATTATCTCGGCATTATTACAGCAGTTTTCATAAATTATAGGAAAATTGACCGGCCGAATATTTGCCGGTTTGGTACACTGCTGAATCAAATCAGCAAATATTCGGTCAGTCAATTTTTTGTCAGGTGTCCCAGAATTTATGAAAACAACCGTAAGTTTACGGAATACCTTTGGCATTATTAAGTTTGCCGAAAAACTTCGGCATTATTAAATTCCCGAAAGATTTTTTTAAATATTATACTACAACTGTTTTCATATTCAGTAGATAACAAATCGATAATTTTTTGGTTTTGTTAATATCGATAATTTATCAAATTCGACAATGACAACTTATCGATCGATCATAAAATCTTTCAGTTGCTCCAGGATTTATGAAACAGTTGTAAAAATTAAAATGCCGGAGGTCTTGCAATTGAATCAATCAAGAGTCGTGAATTAGCATTTTCACTATAACTAGGGTTCCTCAATTTAAATATTTAAATCAAATATTTGATCAAATTTGAATTAATTTGAAAACCAATTTTAGTATTTATCACAGGTGGCGATACCATCACCTCTTATTTCTTTTATCAATTTAGAGTTAGGAGATATAGTATCCTTGGCAATATCGCCACCAGCGGTAAATAGTAATATTCATTGAAAAATTACTATTGAACCATTGACTACAGACGTCAATTTTGGTGAGTATTTTTAAGTTGATTTATGTGATTTATTGAATTACTAGACATACATGTTTCACTATATTGCGAAAATAAAAGCGAGTTCACAAGACACTCTTAGATTATTATATATTTCTAAATTACTATTACGTAAAACAACAGAATATCAATAAATTCAGAAATATAATTAAAAGGACGAATACATTATTTAATCGATCAATAAGAATTTAAAATAGGGCGTGCACCGAATTTGAGTACAAGAGTAATGTGTAATTGTAACATTATAAAATAATGTGATTTGTTACTTTAACATCATTCAGCATGCGTTTCAGAGAGTGTTTCGAGGTAACCTGGTAATCTTTTCAAAAAGTGTTCCAATCGTTTTTCTTGATATATTAAGACGATCTAGTACTAGGATTGGTCCAAGTTAACCAGTAGTTGCTTAATTGCATCCCATTCTAAGCACAAGCTTAAAAGGTAAGGTTCAAATATAAGCAACTTTATACAGTATCTAATTCAAAAAGATCAAATAAATGTTTTTTACGCGTATAATGATTGTTTTATGGACAATCTAATTTAACAAGTTTTAAGATTACTTTGCATTATAATACAAGATTATATATACAAGATTTTATCTTCGTTAAAATTTTTATTATTAAAAAATAAAAAGCCGAATTCTTGCGTAAAAGAAGCTACGTGAACACATTTTGTTGGTATATATCATCTAGATGAGTTTAAACAATATCGACATTATAGACATGTGAATATCATTAACTCAAATGTTTTACGTAAAACCTAAATAAATAAATAATGAATAAAAATCTTAAATATATGTATAGTGTATGTTGTAAGTGGGAACAGAATTTAAGTGGATTCGGAATTTCCTAGTTAAATTAGGGTTAGGGTAACTCACACAATGCTGATTTTATATAAAAATTCCGAATCCACTTAAATTCTGTTACCATTTACAACATATATATAAGTATTCGCTCAAATTGTATATATATATGTATTTGCTCAAATTATAATATCAAATTATAATAGTTATTGTGGGGAGAAATTAACGATCCTTTCTTAAAAAATTAATTTATTCAATGTCAATTATTATTACGAAAGCCTAATCGACATTATCTGACGTTTGAAATCTGAGATCTGATATCTGATATTCGTTAACATATAAACCAATTAATAGCTTCTTTATTGGCTAAATGTATGCAAATGTATGACTATAACAGTCTAAATAATCTAAATATTTACTCCTGCCAATTTTTAATTGAAGAAAAAAAACCAACAAACCAATCAATTAGTTAAATTGTAGCCTGTTACACAAATAAGAATTATTATTCATTACCAGTTTTTCGATATATTAATGGTTTGCGCCAAGAGATTTTCTTGTGGATGCTTATATAAACACGTATAATCCTTTTTAATTCGATAATATCGATAAGAGACGAGCATGAACACAATGGATTTAATTGATGATACAGAAATGAAAGTCAACAAACCCTTTGTAAAATGAACTCGAAAAAAATCAACTTAGGATAACAATAGATAAAAAATTATTGGGTTGGTGATTTATCTATATTAATAAAATAAAAGCTTATACTAATTTATTAAGATGTGAGTAGTGCCTAAAGAAACCTCGGAAGTGCAGAATCACCTATTTCATGCAATTTTCTTTAATATTTGTAACACAAAACGTGTTATTGGAATAAGTGGTCCATGATATATGCAATATTATCATTACTATTATTATTATAATTCCTTTTTAACCGATAATAAATCAGTTTCCATATTAAACGGCGAACATATGATTTTTTTTTGTTAATTGGACTAGAGTGCATGGAAGGACTGGTTTGTGACCTAACCAGCTAGTTGACAATTTAGGAAACCCCTGATTATCTTTCAAAGGATGATACACGTCAGTTTTGTCAGGAAGAATCAGTGTTAATAAAGGACATAATTTTTAAACACACATTATTCAATCTGAAACATAATATTTTTTTTACTTTGTTGTGACTAATTTATTTAAATTTTTATTTAATTTTAATTTTATTTTAATTTTATTTTATTTGTTTATTATAGCAACTTTATAAAATAAACTATCTTTATTTGGCAAATTGTGAGTTTACTCCGAGCCACGTACCACGAATCTGAATCCGCGCCGTTACACGATCGAAAGTCTTCGATAAAGAGTTAAAATAATCGCATGTACTTCCAAAAATGGATTTCGAATATTTTAGAAATAAAATGTAATATAACAAATAAGTAGTATTATTAAAAAAATATTACATATTTTTGTATTTATGCACAATGAAAAATGTTAAATTACAAACAATATATGCACTCGCCATTTTTCTAATGTACCACTATAAATTATTACATTAGTTATGCAGTTTTGTTCGTTCTTGACCTTCGATTATAGATAGAAAGCTTGGTTTTCAATGCACCTATCAACCTAAAAGAAAGTTTGACCTACCATTCCGGTAAGATATTCGATTAATCTTAAATTATTTACCTTTTTTTTATTGGTTTGACTATGTACAGTATTGTGTATAGCAAATAATTTAAACCAACATAAAAAAATCCTATAAAATTATATTCCTGATTTTCGTTTACAGAATTGTAAATCATTATTTATTATGAAGCGAAAATTACAAATAAAGATAAGCTGGTTGAATAGAAAAACAGTATAAAAATTTTTAAATTTTTCACTTAGCATTTATATATGTATAGCAACATATGAGCTAACTAGTCTAGTTAATCATAATTTAACTTGTCATATCATCATAATAATTAACCGTTTTATAGATAAATTTCACTTAAAAACTTAAAACGGTACTACTATGCATAAAAAAAATACCTTGCGCTAATTATGCAACATGTACAGCTAATCTGCCAATTAATATATAATTTTGTACAACTTTTATAGAATCGACTTTAGGCTCGTTGACGCTTGTGTTCGCTTTCTTATACGCGTACAAAAGAAATACAAAGAATATCAATAATAAACATCTACATATATATAAAAAAAATTCATAAATCCATTTATATACTTATTGAAATTTCATTGTCAAATTTATTGAAACTTTTATAAATTACTAGTTTGATGAACGTACACCTTATCGTGATCTCTTCGCTCTGGAGCTAAGAATTTTCTTGATTCCTTGTTTTAAAATACTTATTATAATAAATAATAAATAATAATAAATAATATTAAAGTGATGTTTCGTAGCGCAAGGCTTTCATTACAAAAAAAAAAAGGTAGCTTGAATAAATCTCTAAACAAAAATGGTCTACAAGGAGGCGGAAGTTTAAAGCGTAGTATAACTACAAGAAAAGTACAAAGGGATGTTGCTGAATTTGTAACCTTGGAAGAGGTTCATTTAATAGTAAAAAGGTGCGCTGATGAGATAAGAGCAAGAGGTTTGTATTATACTCGCATTTTATTTTCGTTACCATATCATTTTATATATATATATATATATTTTTTTTAAGTCTTTATGTAACTTAATCCTTGCATTGCATATTTAATAGGTTTACATGAGGTGGATATTTTCAAACCTGTTCGCATAGGCGATAATATAGATGACATCAGGCACCTTATTAGTTGTATGTTACAAGAAGACCGAACCCAGTTTGAAGATGAGGTCAAAGAACAAAATATTCATAACGTCGTATCAGCAATGAAGTGGGCCTTAAGGCATAGTTCTACAGCTCTTGTTCCTTATCAATACTACGAAGAATTCGTTAGATATGAACAAGGTAAAAAAGATGTTTTTCACTATGTTAAAATGTAAACACCTATTTAAATTGTTATTTACACATATTATTTATATTATTTATATTATTATTTATATATTTTATTTATTTTTTATATATTTTTTATATTTTATATATAGAATGGGATTATGATCCAAGTAAAGGCTCCTTCAGGCAATTCCTTTGTTATCTTCCTAAACAGAATCAAGAAATTCTTACCGAATTATTTGAGGTCTGCTCTCAAGTAACTGCTGAATCTCACATTAATAAAATGTCTGTACAAAGATTAGTAAAGTCTTTAGCTCTTTGCATATTGAGTGATCAAGATAAATCTTTACAAAATTTTGATTCTGCTTATTCTGAATGGAAAAAATGTTCAAGTGCTTGTCTTCACCTTTTTCTTGCTTACTTACGAGAATTAGATTACTCGTCTCCTGAACCTTTAAATCCACGTTTAACTATATTGTTAGATAATTATGTGGAATATCGTAAAATGTCTGTCACCTCTGCTTATTTTGAACATCCTTTACCTGACACTACTGTTAATGAATTTCCTAGTGCTAGATCTCGAAAACAATCTATTGTAACTTTTGCTCAAACAACTGAAATTACAACTTCAAAAGAAAGAAGAATAACTATTGTTGAAACCTCTGAATCTCGTCCTGTTAGTATGTTAAGAGTTACTAGACAACGTCCTTCCTCTGAAATAACTTCCGAAACTAGAACCTTTAAAAGTCGTACTATTGTCAGTTCTATGATGACAATTGATGAAAAACAAAATGTTGAAAAAATGTGGGATCAATTTCAAACTAATGGAATAGGTGCTTTATCTGATGATTTCTTAAAATTATACTTTTCTCTCGAAGAAAAAGCTCGAGCTCCAATAAATTCCACTTATGATTTAATGCTCACCGAATTTTCTAGAAAAGGTTTCAAGAGTTTTTACTTGGATTTACCCAAAATTGTTATTGACAACCCTATCGATCAAACATTCGATCCAACATTATTAGATCATCCAATTTTATTAGATCAAAAATCACGTCCAAGATTATTAGATCAAAAACCACATCAAACATTATTAGATCAAACTTTAGATCAATCATTATTAGATCAAGAATCAGATCCAACATTATTAAATCCAAATTCAAATCAAGAAACAATTCTTCAAGATGGTGATGCAACCATTGATGGAATAAAAAAGAGAAATGATTCTGGAATTTCTGTTAGAGACTCTATAGTTTGGGATAATTTTTCAGAGAGTGGATTCAAAGAATCTAGTGAAGATTTAACAGCTGTTAAACCTCCATCAATAAAAGAATCTATATCTGATATGAGTAAAAAGGATTCATTGATAACTTTCGATAATGATAAAGAAATGTCACGAAAATCTTCAACAAGTTCTGTGATTTCAGGAAGAAAATCTTTTAGAGAAAGTATAAAAAGCAGAAAAAAATTAGTCAAATTTCGTTCTTTCAGAAAATCAAATAGGACTCTTTCTATTGATTCACGTTTTTGTGAATCAGAGAATAGTTTTTCTGAAACAGTTTCTGAAAATGATAAAGAGGATTGGAATGATTGGGATATTATTAGCAATGAAGATCTACCTATAACTACTCATCTAGCAATTGAAACTGTTGATGAAATCTTTCCTTACGTTTGGATGGAAACTACGGCAAGTGATCAAGGTGATCGATGGGGTGATTGGGTGTTCATTGAACCAAGAAAAGGTTTAGTACATGAATGTGAGTGGGTCATGATTGAAGAAAAAGCACAAGTATTCACTGAACAACAAGTTACAAGAACACCTAGGAGAAGAAAGATGAGCGCTATAAGTACATTTACTATTCCATGGATTAGAGGAAAAGGGAAATCAAGACCTGCAAGCAAAATTAGTGGAATAAGCGGAGTCAGTGGAATCAGTGGTGCATCAACTGTATTACCACCTCCTCCGGTCTCTTTGCAAGAATTTAATCGAGCCAGAACTGATGATAATATACTTCCAAATTACAAGTTTGGAAGACAAAAAAGTGCTACTAGAATAACGAAAACTAATAATAATGAACCAATCGTATGGAAAAATACGACGCAAACTTCTCAAACTTCTCATACTTCTCATACTATACAGACTGTAGACAAAGGATTTGGTACATTGTCGTACAGAGAATATAACCAATATGAGACAGCAACTCAGTATACTCAAGGATACTTTAATGATGAACAATATAATGATAATTCAGAAGAAGCCTTTGAACAACCTCAATCGAATTCAACGTATCAGGATAACCAAAATGAATATCAAGAAGATGCATATTTGGAATACCCCTTACAACAAGAATATACTGAAGTAGAAAATCAGGATCCGATTATTTACAATAATAATTATACAGATGAGAACACGAGAAGTTTCTACGGTCAACCATCAATATTGCAGGTACTTTATCCTACAAAATTTGATCAACCTATTAGTGGACGAGTCACACAAATCAACATATAATTTTCTTGCGTGAAATTATTATTTATAATATTACTATTATTACTATTATTACTATTATATTATTATTATACTTTTTTTTTTTTTTATTTATTTATTTATTTTTTTTTTTTGTCAAAAAAAAAAAAAAAAAAGAAAAAAAAACTAATAATATTTCTAACATCAAAGACCTGTCTTGTTTTCAGCAGGATCTCGTTAGCTACTTTAACATTCTTTTTCGTTATATATGTAAATTTATAAGATTTAACATTAAATAGATTGTAATCTACACAAGTCACTAGAGAATAGTGGTATAAATGATTTTCAATATATAAAAAATATCTTATCTACTTTTGCCTATATCTTATTATAAAAACAAAAAAAAAAAAAAACGAATATACCGAGTATACTATATTAATTATAATAAAGTCGATATTTAAAATTGCTGTGCAATTTTAATACATAAAATTTGATAACTTTTACGTTTCACAATATTAAATAAATTATATGAGAAATCTTATACTTGTTAATATAAAAACTAGAATTAACATTAAAGATTTCGATATCGGTATTGGATTAAGACCAGATTTTACAAATATATGATCTAGACTTGCATATTGCAGATTTCTTTATTAGAGTATCTTGCTGGTGTTACCAGTGTTTAGATCTGGTTCGATAACTTTAAAAAATAAAAACTACGTATGCATATAATATCGATATCAAAGATTTCTAAAGTATAACAGTGCTTTAAGATTGATTATCATTCAAAGCAATGAAGTTAAGAATTAAATGTGTAAGTAATCACACAATACATCTCTCATCAATTCAGCTTGATTTTTTGTTATTCTTTTTTCCCTAAATAAAACAGAAAGTTGAACATAAAATTCTAATTTATATTTATATCATTAAAATACAATATGATATAGAACATACTTCACTATCAATGTTCACTATCTTTTTATAAATTTCTTCAAGTTCTTTTATTGCGCCAATGACTTGTTCTTTCTTTTCGATCGATTGAAGTTGATCATTGTTAAGCTTAGATTTATTTTGAGGATCTTCTCGTAAAAATTCTTCAGATTTCTCGATCCTTGCCTGTTGAGAAAAGTTTAATTTTGATAATAAATACAATTTATAAAGGATCAAAAATAAATCAATACTCACCAATCGTTTATTCAGCGCTTTAATTCTTTTAGCTACAAGTTCAATGCACTGCATATAGAAGTTTTTGTCAACTTCTTTGCATTTTTCCATATTTTCTACCTTAGATACATCATTAACTCGTGAATCGTTTTTTGGTGGTTCCAAGATTTGCGATGAAACTTGCGTTTGGGAAAGTTGAACGATGATTGGTTTAACAGTATCGTCAAATGATGTAGAATTAACATCATCTTCCCATCTTGATGTATTAGAATATTCCAATTCTTCAACAATTGGTGGTAATGTTGAAGATAATAACCTTTTGTCAAACACCTGCGCCTGTGTTTCTGGAGTGATAATTTGAAGATTTGCTTTAATATAATTGTGGTTAGCGTTTAAGACTTTAGATCTGATTTCATGAGTTTCCGTTTTATGATTTTGGTAATTATCATGTGATTTCAGCTTATTGTACTGATTTCGAATGTTATTTTGGAATTTTGGTTTTTGTTGATCGTTAGTTATAAAAGCTCTTCCTGCACTTTTCTGAGAACCTTGCGTTGTTGCTACCTCTTCTTCATTATCTACCCAAGCATTAAGAGATCCAATTTCATCCAGTTGTAAAACACCCCATCCTTCGTTTGTTTGTGTTCCTCCCCAACCTTCGGATGTTTGTGGATCACACCAACTTTCAACATATGTATCACCACCACGGTTACCGTAACCAGACATGGATGATTTACCAAAGAAAATTTTTTGTACGTACGTATGTATAAATAAAGAAAAATAATGTTAATCGTATTTGGCTAGAGACTTTTATTTATATGGTTAAGTAAATTAGGTTAGTTAAAGTTCGTTGACTTACGATTTTTAATGGCAATTTTTTTTTTCTATTGCTAGTTTGTTATGATGAGATCATGTTGCATATTTTTCCGTATCGGTATACAAGGCCATGTCGTAATAATTACAATCCAACCCTTTTTTGTTACTCCGACCATATTGATATTTGTTCACGTGTCCATCCATGAGCCTAATTGATTTTTATATTAATATCGATAAAAGGGAACTCATTTACGTATATTTCAAAATAAACTCGTTCTTAAAATGACTGAATTCATCCGTGATGAAAGAATTATTTTAAATGTTGGAGGTATCAAGGTAATTCATTAATTAACTTTGATTTTATAAACAAATATTTTCATTACTTGTAATATTGTTGAAGTTATAACAGCATGTTTCTCATGCTAATGATCACTATGATTTCTTATCGTTGTTCTCAAAAAATACGTGAAATAAAAAGAATTTTTAAATATAGTGAATTATTATTTTTTTTTCTTTTGAATACCTTAAATCTAACTATTAGATCTAAAGTATTTAAAAAGAAACAATTAAGTATTCACAATATTTAATCAAGTATTCACAATATATATATATATATTTTTTAAGTATTTTAAAAACATGCTATAAAATAATCGTAATATAGTCTAATAATAATAATTATGATGATTAAAATTTGTAGTATGAAACGTATCGGTCAACATTAACAACTTATCCAGAAACGTTACTTGGTACAATGTTTCAAGATAGAAATCGAACAATAGTTCATGCAATTGATGGAAATGAATATTTTATTGATAGAAATGGGCATGCATTTCGTTACATTTTAGAATTTTATCGTAATGGTGAAATTGTATGGCCAAATGAAAACTTTTTGGAAAATGATACTAATTCAACTTATGTCTCACGATGTGAACTACTTAAAGAATTTGATTATTTTCAAATTCCATTTGAAATTCCGGAAGCTTTACCTACTAGTCAAATGTTGGCTAAGAGATTTGACAATTTCATAAATGCGTTACTAGAATGTTCTTTTGATATAAAATTCTCTTTTAGAACTTATATGAGTATTAAATTTTATGATTATTCCATATCAGGTGAAGAGAATCATCCCACAATGCTTGTTGTTAATCCTTACATCGATAGTGCATACAAAAAGCTAAAACCTTTTGAATCTTGTGGGTACACATTGTCGATTTTGTTTAAAGAAGAAATTAATGCATTCATGAAAGCTTCTTTATCAAAATTATCTTGTGATATTAGGAAGGTGAAAAGTCCTGATTGTGTAGTAATAAGGATGTATATTCGTGATAATTTTGATTGTGAAGAAATTCTTAGACATTCTGTTTATAAAAAACTATTGTTATAATTAACTATAATTATAATTATATTATTTAGGATTTTTTATAAATATTTTACTCTATTAAATAATGTTATTAAAGAAAGCTTTTATTTTAATAAAATACTTAATATTTCTTCCTTTCAAAATTCTTTTTTTTTTTAGTTTTATTATGCCTTCAATGTGTTGGCAAATGCTCTGACATCGTTTATACTAAGACCATTTTGACTATGATCATGCGTAGGAAATACAATCTTGACATCTTCCAACTTTGCAATTTTCTTGATGGATTCTTTAACATTATTTAAATGAGAGGTGGTGGCTGTAAATGGTAAAGAGATCACTGGTTCGGAATATTGTGAGGCTGAAAGATTAACTAAACTATCTCCAACCATTATACAATTTGTTGGAATGTGAAGGTAAGATATTGATCCTATATCATTGGAAACAAATTCTAAAAAAAAAAATCAATTTAATTTACGAATAACCTTTTTTTTTTTTTTTTAGACTCTATAGAAGTTTAACTCACCTAAAGTATGATCAGCGATAAAGGTAGGTTTTAAAACATTAAAAAATTCGAATTCATCTTCTTTCCCTTGCTTTATCATTATAATTCTATCTTTATCAATTGCTATTTTCCCTTCAGCGGTTGCTAAGTGTTGTGTATGAGAATTACCATTCATATGTTTGTAATTTGTATGAAAAGATTCTGGTTCACCTAAAACGAGTTTTAAATCTTTATGTTCATTTAATAATCTTGAGATAGATCCAGTATGATCAAAGTGACCGTGAGTTAATAAAATATATTTAAGTTGATAATTCGGAAATTTTGAAAAATGTTGAGATAAAGCTGTGAAAAGTTTCGAAATGTTATTAGGATCTGCGGTATCTATTAAAATCCAAGTATTGTTGGATGGTTCAACGTTAATAAGGAACACAGAAACTGGACATTGTAAAGGTCCGAATTGAAGATTGAACGTGGCTCTATATAAATTGGGAAAGATTTCTATAAATTTTTCGAAATCTTCAAGTGTAGATAACGACATTTTTGTTAATTTACAATCTCGAACGCAAAAAAAAATTATCATATATATATATACATGCATATAATGATTATCCAATGGGAGTTTAAATTCCGAAAGACGCTGAATCATACTGTATCTTGCTTTGCCGCAGCCATCTATTGTTGTGCTATGTTATGTTACGCGAGTTAATCTTGCTAGAAAAAATCGGCGGACCGGTGACATCGGAGCTTCAATACCTTACAATAATGATATTTATAGTGGGTTTTGATGCTGACTTTTTGACAGGATTTAGTCTATCTCATAAAATAGCTTGGGTGTTCCATTTTAAACCCTCTGAACCTGCACCTGTGTTAACATTACTGGGTCATGCCCAGGTCATCATCTCAACCTTAGGACTATTTTATCCTCGAGGTAAACCTCCGGAGCCTTCTGTACCCATTTTTACAGCTGACCCGGTGCAATAATTTGAGTGGTGAATAGTGTAGATAAGTGATATCACTCTAAGAAACATATCAGTTTAAGTATTCTATTGGAAATTCACTCTTGAGTGTTTAAACTGAATGAAATCTATCATTGGTCCTATCTTCGTGATGGAATTGTTAACCTCATATAGAGAATTTGTTTATTCTCTGATAACATCTGCGTTTTTGAAAAATATTTCCTATCCAAAAAAAAAATAAAAATCTTGAAATTCTAAGCTAATGTTCCGGCTCAAACCCTTTTTCAAGTATAAAACGGTTTGCCTTTTGAGCTTCGGTTTCTTTCAAAATCCGAAACAAAAGTGGGCGAATCCAAACTCTAAAACTTTTTAAGGCCTAACGTAAAATCCCGAAATGATGTAATTGTGAGCTGTAGCTATACTTGCTGGCAAACCCCGGACAAATCCCAAACCTCAAAAAAAACAAATTGCTTTTATAAAAAAATAAAATATTTTGTAAATATATTATATATAACTATAAGAACATATATTATTTGTTTAAATAAAGATTATTAATAAAATTTTTGAGAAATTAGTTTGGGCTTGAGTTTGGGATTTGGGACGGACAAACCCAAACTATAATAGTTTGGGATTTGGGCGGCAAGTATAGCTACAGCTATATTAAGTTTAACTCGTGCCATGCTTGCTGTTTTGTGACATTATGGCATACTTGAATGTCGTCATGGGAAAACCGCATTTTGTGTTTTTATATCCATTTCTGAAAAGTATAGTCAGTGGCGTACGTATATACGTAATTAAAGACACATGTACGGCTGGTCGTTTGGTGTTGGTGGCATATGTCTCTTAGATTTCTTCAGTTTTCAAAGGATAATTATGAACTTAAAAGACCTGATACGTAGTTTCCCTTGTGGTATTCATTTATTAATTTAAAATTTTTAATAATGCTGTTTATCCATTATACTATCTTGCGGATAAATTCAAGATAATTATGAAAATTGTAGTTACATAACGAGAACCGCATTTACCCAAAATAACGTTCAAGGGCGTTATTTAGAGGCATGCAATATGAAGAGTGCTAATAATTGATTTAACCGAATGCAAACCATCATTTTATTTTAAACAGCTCTCGGCTAAATTAATTATTAGCTCTCTTCAAATTGCATGTCTCCAAGTAACGCTACGGGCGTTATTTTGAAATAAAAGTGTGGTAAAATGTGATACTACTTGAACAGTCACATTCTGATGGGACGAAATCAATAATCAATTTTTTTTCAAATTTTTAGCAAAGATATTTTTATGACCATCTATTCAAAATTTATGAATATAGAACCAAATAAAAAAAATTTTATTGATTTTAGATAATGTTTGTCGATATATCTTTACTAAAAAAAATTAGTCACGGCTGTTTTTAATAGCTAATTAAGTTTTTCTAAACTTTGGCAAAGATATGTACGTAAATGGCCGTTGTCATGGTGGGACTGCTATGGAGATTAAATCTCATATGAAAAAAAATCCCATATCTTAAATTGGAAAAGGTTTATTTTGATCATAATTCAAACTTTGGTCGATCTCAAATTCTATGTCTCAAATCCCAAATCTATATTCTAAATCTCAAATTTTGTGTTTCAAATCTTTTTTTAAAATGTTCAAAGTAAGGTCTTGTCTTTGGATTTTATTAATATAGTTATTAATGCAACCTTGTTGCACATAGTATTATATACATCAATTGTTTGTTAACAAATTATTATTATTATTATTATTATTTTTAAAGTGGCAATCTTGCCTGTCTGTCTTTATTGGGTAATATATCATTATATAATTATATACAAAGTTTATCAACGAAAGTACAACTAGTCACACATATAACTTTAGTCATTATCTAATTAAGGGTTCTGCCCAAGGGTTACTCACTAGCTGTCATACTTGAGATTCACTTGTAAATCCTCTATTTAAACTTTTTGATTTCAATCCTATTGCATATATACAATGTTTCTATTACCACATAGACATATCAGGTTAGGGTTATCTAATTATTATTTATTCAAGGTACAACCTTATTGGATGTTACCAGGTATTCATAGTCTTTTGAATTTACCCTCAACACAGACTTACTAAGTATGGTATCAAAATTATCTTTTAGATTTATCCAATTTTAGTAGATCCTATATTTACTAGAACCAATTTGGTGTCAGAAGTGTTTGAATTTTGGTAAATCTATTCTTTTTTTATAGTTTCCTTTTTATGTTTACCATATTACCCATTAGTGTGTCTTTTTTTTATTTCTGATATGTTTACTACTTTTCTTACATCGAGCACCAACTCTCTATATCAAGAAACTTCTTTCCAAGAACTTCTTTATATACTGATCTTTTAATTACATGGACTTACCACAGGGTTTTGCATATATTCATATGCTTTTGTAGATTACAGTTTTACCTTCAGTTGAAATTAAACCATTGAACTTGTTTATGAAAGAAGAGGTACTTAGACCACTAGGTTACAGAACCCCATCTTCTTGTTAACAAATTATTAAGACTTAGACAGTTATTTATAATTTAAGCCTACTAGAATTTTTTATATTCTGCATAGAGTTGATCTGGTTTTTGTATCTTTCTATAATTTTTATTTGGTATTAATCAGTTGATGTTCTCAATTTGATCTATTTAGGTTTACTATTACACTAAAGCTAATTTGTTGTTGTACCTTATTTTTAAAGAGATTAATTTGTATTTCAAATTAGATTATTATTATTAATTAATTTCTTATATTTTTATTTTTAGAAAATTAATATTTTCTAACTAATTATATATTTTTTTATATTTTTATATATATATATATATATATATTTTTTCCTTCACTTAAGCAGTCTTGCTGGTCACCTTTATTATGTATTTTTGTATTCATACCTACAAATTATTTCATAAATTCTGGTCCAACATCCTGCGGGTGCTTCTATGAGTCCTTACAAGCAATCTGCCTGCACTGACTATCTAATTTCAAAAGAAATTAGAGTATGTCAGGGGCTGCATCCAACCACCGCTCTATAATAGGATATTGCCAATCTGATAATATCTTCTCGTAGAGAAGTAAACAAAAACAAAAAAACTTATATATAAAAAAAAAAACAGAGGTATAAGGGTAGATGATAAAAGATACAAATGCAAGAAATAAAAAAAGAAAAGAGGAGAAATAAGAAACAAAAGAAAAAATATGTGCGACTCTCGCCACACAACCATCGGATAGTCACAATTATAAGCCTATATCAAGCTTTTAAAAATTATAAACTATACTAAATAGAAATAACTCTACTATTTTTATATCTACTAGAATATTTAACAAAAACCATATAGGATAAAACTTCAACTTGAATGTAGAGAGTCAGCATAGGTATCGGTTAGTCTGAGAACAGTATTGCACAGGGTTTTAGCAGTTCAAGGCATGTGTATGAGTCATGTTTGTATTGCTGTATTGTTTACACAATCCCGATTAGGAAGTAGATACTGCTGACTGTTTTGGTGTTTTACGTGTCAATCTTTTGGAGTGGATAAACTAAATCGCCCACTTTTTACAAAATTTTTCTCGAAAAAAAGAGAAGGCATGAGGTGAACCAAACTATAGCTTTTGTGAATGCTTAA